CAATCTTGGCTCACGGCACCTCTGCCTCCCGGCTCAAGTGATTCTTCTGCCTCAGCCTACTGAGTAGCTGGGATTACAGGCATGTGCCACCACACCCGGCTAATTTTTGTATTTTTAGTAGAGAGGGTGTTTCACCATGTTGGTCAGGCTGGTCTTGAACTCCTGACCTCGTGATCTCACCCGCCGGCGTTTTCTCCTCCCAAAGTGCTGGATTAGGAGGCGTGAGCCACTTCACTAACATTATCGAGCTTTTTAATATGTGTTAAGCATTGGGTGCTAAGCAAAGCAGGGTGAGCATAAATGGACAAGTCTCTGGCGGACGGAGGTTATAATTGCAGAAGAGAAACTAATGGAGGTTATAATTGTAGAAGAGAAACTAATTAGAATCGTTAATAAAGTTGCAACCATAACAAGTGCCTAAAAGGAGAGGATAGATACTACAGTGGGGAGTCTGACCTAGTTGGGGAAGGGTGGTTTGCAAAGTACTTACCTTTCCTTCCTATTATTTACCCATGAACTCTCTGCAGTTCCCCAAGAATGCAGGCACCGCCCTCCTGCCCTGTGACCATTCCATTCCAGATGTTCCCCTCTGTCAAGATTGCTCCCTCCGTACCTAGCTCCATTATTTTCTAGTACTTGGTATGTGTTGGGTACCAGATAAGCACTTAACATCTATTTTCTCTTGTATTTACCTCAGTGAATGCAACTGTTAACCCTGTTTTATAAATAAGAAACTACGCTTTAGAAAGGCAAATCACCAAAGACTCACAACTAGTAAGTGAAGAAAGGAATTCAAATCCCGTGAGAGCCCGGACTAAAGCGGTCTGGGCGGCACAGTCTTGTGTCTCCTAATTCCTTCCCGTCCAGGCCTCACGATCCGCCCGTCTTCCTGACCGACTCCTGGTGACGGCCCACTGCCTCCACGGGCCACGGCCATGGCAAGGTAGCAAGTGTAACTTGTCGCCTGCCCCACTAGGCTGAGCTCTTCCCGGACAGGGACTGGCCTTTTCCCTTTGGTCAGCTCCGTGACTCCGGGTAGACGCTCGTGACGCCACGCGCGACGGTGGCTCACGTGGCCAGAAGTACTCCCTTTCCCCACGGTTTTTCTAGGAAAGCAGGAGGACTGCCCGACCCATGGTGCGCCCCAGCCCCGTGAAGCCGGGAGTGGTGAGGCCGGGCGCCCGCAGCCGGGCAGTCAGTGAGTGCGCGCAGAGAGCCCGCAGGCGGAAAGTCCTCGCAGTGAGCATCTCGAGCGAGGCCCGCGACCCCTCATGACTACTAGCGGGCGGACGTGCGGCGCGGCCGCCAAGGTAGCGCCGAGTGGGGGAAGACTGGATGGGCGCCTGAGACAAGCCCTACAGAGGCTGCGTGATTCTGGAGCTGGGAGCCGGGCTCCGCCTATCCCGGTGAGTCGCTAGTCCCTCCGCCTGGTCTCCGTGCCTGCGCCCCCAGCGCGTCCAGCTCCTGCAGCTTTGAGGCTCCTTCCGCGCACGCACCCGCCCCGATCTCTGGTTGGCGCCTGCCCCCGGGAGGCTCTGCCTAGCCCGGCGCCTCGAGGACCCGGCCTCAGTGGCCGGGCGGCGCGGGGTGCGCCCAGGCCCTGCCCCTGGCAGGGCTGACCGCCAGTCCGCGCATGAGGCCATCTGCAAGGCACGAGTGCAGGAGAGTGGAAGAGACTGGGCTGTTATAAGACCTCCTTCAGTAAATGGAAGGTTATTCATGAGGCCTTCTGACACTCCAGAAACGGAATTTCTCCAGGGTTTGATGAGTATCAGGTGGTGGTTTGAGTTTTGAACAGGTGATCACAAATAAATCCTCTAATTTTTTTCTGCATCTGTTCCGTTTAAGCTCTTATGTGTGTGTGTGTTTTTGGAGATGAGTCTTGCTCTGTTGCCCAGGCCAGAGTGCAGTGGCGCAATCTCAGCTCACTGTAACTTCCACCTCCCGGGTTAAAGTGATTCTCCTGCCTCAGCCTCCCAAGTAGCTGGGATTACAAATACCACCACACCAGGTAGCTAATTTTGTATTCTTAGTAGAGAGAATAATTCTACCCATGTTGGCCAGGCTGGCTGAATTCTGACCTCAGTGATCCACCGGCCTCGGCTTCTAAAGTGCTTGACTAAGGCGCTAGCCACTGCACATGGTCAGAATCCTAGTCCTTATAGAACATCAGAGAATCCATACAGGTGAGAGGTCTTATTTTTTTTTTTTTTTTTTTTTTTTTTGAGACGGAGTCTTGCTCTGTAGCCCGGGCTGAACTGCAGTGGCCGGATCTCAGCTCACTGCAAGCTCCGCCTCCCGGGTTTACGCCATTCTCCTGCCTCAGCCTCCGGAGTAGCTGGGACTACAGGCGCCCGCCACCTCGCCTCGGCTAAGTTTTGTATTTTTAGTAGAGACGGGGTTTCACCGTATTGGCCAGATGGTCTCGATTCCTGACTCGTGATCCGCCCGCCTCGGCCTCCCAAAGTGCTGGGATTACAGGCTTGAGCCATCGCGCCCGGCCGAGAGGTCTTATAAAATGCAGTGGGTGTGGGAAAGATTTGAGGGGTAACTCACAATTTATTCAGCATCAAAGAATTCACAGGAAACTTTTATGAATGCAAATTTAATGTTCAAAGACTTGTAATCAGAGCTCAAGCACCTTATTCAACATCATAGAATTCACTGGAGAAAGCCCTGTGAATGTGACAAGCATGGGAAAGCCTTCAGATGGGAGTTCAGACCTTTGTGAGGCATCTGAAATTCATATTGAGATAAAGTTTTGGAATGTAGCGAGCATGGAAGAATTTTCAATCAGAGCTCAGGTCTAATACAGCATCAAAGAAACCAAACAGAATCATAACCCTAGGAAGACAGTAATGATAAAGATGCTGCATGTAAAAGCATACATAGGAAGAGAGGAGTATTTGTTTTTGCTTTCATAACTGCTTGGAAATTCTAAGCTTCCTAAGAGCTAATTTTCGTCTGATTCAGTGTATACTACTTAGTCTCAGGTCATGTGCAGATATGTCCTCCCCAAATGCTTACCACAAGATAAATCAGAAATCTTGACTGGAATAAGCTTCTAGTTCCATTTCACTCCCTTTATCGCCAGAGGTTCACACTGCAGGAAAATCTTTTGTAAATGGTGGAAGCTGCATAAAGCACCATCATCATCACAAAATGGTGTCCTTGTGTCTCCTGTTTAAAGGGTACTGGGAATCAAATAGCTTCCTTTGTCTTTTTTTTTCTCCCTTACTATGAATTGTGCCAGGGGAACGTAAAATGGCTATGATATCCTGAACTCTAGGTGGATGTCTTTCTCTGGGACAGAATCTAATCCAAAAGTCTGCAAATGGACTTGAGGTTTTCACATTAGTATAAATGTCAATATGTAGTTTAGGAGTTTATGCTATTCCCCCATTCCTAGCAAATTAGACACAGAAGCAGCTAATTGCAATCAAGGAAAGGGAAATTGATGGTAAGTCAGAAGACCCATTGTCTTCTTCACACAAAAGTAGTAGCTGTGATTCGAATCTATTCTGTAGGATTTGGAAAGTATAACAGCACATTGAAGTCTGACATACCGAAATCCAGGCTCTGTCAATTTCATCTCTGTAACTTTTATTGCTTCTGAGTTTTGATTTTTCTCATCTGTAAAATCAAGATAGGCATAATGACATTAATACAGTCCCTTGTGGGCAACTGTGAAGACTAAATGAGACAATTTCATTAAGTTCCTAGCATAGCTCTAGACACACAGTAGACATTCAACAAATGATAACTTACACTTCTGTCCATAGCTCCTACTTTTTGGCAGTAATTATCAATGGCACTTTGAAGGAAAAGATAATATATCCCCCAACCATGACCTTGAGGATTACAAGATTCTGCAATTTCCTTGATCCTACTTGATGTCAGAATGGGCTTGGCCCCAGTATAAAGTAAATTGCAAGGATTTGGAGCGGGGGTGTTATGCACATTTTCAAGGATACTATATCTTGGAGAAACAAATTTAATAATCTGAGAACTACACAGCTGAATAACAATTTTTCCTGGAGAGACTAGGATTGGGTTATTTTATAAAAAGTATTGAGAGAAAAACTATTTTATAAAAAGTATTGAGAGACTGGATCAATCAATATCCTGCAAATCTGATAGTGAGATAAATTTATTTTTAATTAGTTTGTTTTTTTTTTTTTTTTTTTGAGACGGAGTTTAGCTCTGTAGCCCAGGCTGGAGTGCAGTGGGCACGATCTCAGCTCATTGCAACCTCTGCTTCCCGAGTTCAAACGATTCTCCTGTCTTCCTGAGTAGTGGGGACTACAGTCGCCTACCACGCTGGCTAATCCTTTTTTTTATTTTTAATAGAGACAGGGTTTCACCATGTTACTAACAAGGTCCAGAAAAAAAAAAAAATTTTTTTAAATTAAAATAAATAAAAAAAATACTCAACTCCTATTTCCATCGGAATAAAATCAACCTTAAAATTCTTCTTTCTCCTCCCCTCCCGCATCTCCGCCAGTGGTTCGAACATTTTTTTCGCGGAAGGGACCGCTTCTCAGCTGTGACCCTCTCATCAGGTCTGGGAAGTGGTAACTGGAAATTAGAACTCCTGGAGAAGTGTTACCACAGACCATGTACAAGGCCCTAATTTCCCTGACATCCGTCCGTCAGCACCGCCTTTCAGGTACAACCTGAGACCCGCCAAACTTGGTGAAGTCACCCGCTTACAGGGCTCGCTCCCCACCTGAGCAAGTGACTGCACCCCAGGGGCCTCCAGGGCATCCGGCCGCGACATTCCAGCCGTGCAGGCGGCGCGCTCTTTTCCCCGCTCCGCTCAAGCACGGGAACCGGTCTCGGCTCCCAGCTCGACAGCGCCCACGCCTGGGCCGAAGTCGGCGAGCGGAAGCGGCGGCGCGGAGGCTTGGGAGATGGAGGCCGAGGCTGCGACCTGCGCAGGCGCAAACCTGCAGCTGGGGGTGAGGGCTGGAGTGGCGCGGCCCGCGGCAGCGACCCGGATGGAACCTCCTGGTCCTGTGAGGTGAGTGTTGGCGGCGGCTTCCCGGAGGTCCACCTCGCGGCTTGGCTTTTTTGCCCGCCCCAAGAGGCAGCGCCGGCTGTGCATTGAGCGGCCTGGCAGGCAGCTCCGCGGCGTGTGTGTGGAGAGGGGGCTTGGGTTGCCCACGGTGCCCGCGCTGCGCCTGCTCTGCGCTAAGGCCACGTGCCGTGGAGGGGGTCTTGATGTCCCCCCCACCTTTTCTCGAGACCCCTGGGTAGGAGTGGCTGGGTGGGAGGGGGAGTTGTACCTGGCCTGGACGACGGCCTCCTTCCCGCGCTCCCGGGCGGGCACCTGCCCCAGGCCGGGGTAGAGAAGTTTTGCTGGGGCCAGCGCCGCCGGGCATCACCGTGGGAGACACGAGCTCCGCGCTTTTCTTCAAGGCCTCCTTTGTCTTCGCCAGCGGTCCTCTTGTGCTCCTTCGTGGCCTCCTGATGCGTCCCAATTCTCCTTCCCTGTGTGGAAAGGAAAATAAAATCTCAGGACCCCAAACTTACTCTGCTTGGAAACTGAGTCACGAAAAAAACTGCTTTTCCTTTTGTTCCTAAACCGATAGCTGCAAGATAGAAAGCAACATATGCCCCCAGGCCTCCTCACCCTGGCAATGTAAATGAACAGCCCAGCTTCACCGGATAAGACTAGAAATGCTTCTCCACTCCACCCGGAGAGCCGAAGCTATTTGACTTCTTCCTCTACTCTAGATCTACTTTATCTTGTGGAAAATGCAGATGTACTGAGCACTGTGACAAATTCATAATTGACTTCCTCTTTCACGTGCAACAGGTGAACTCAGCTCTAATCAAATCCTCACAAGAATGTGGCCACTTACCTCACTACATACCCCCCCTCTTCTTTACTCCTTCCCCTCCTTGGCCCCAATAAACTGAAGCCCTCAAAACCCTCGGTGGTAGTGCAAGTGGCCACGGATCTTACTGTGGCTTGTGTGTCTTTTCCTGGGTGCATCCTCAACCTTAGCAAAGTAACCCCTAAATTGGTTGAGACTCATCTCAGATGCTTTTGTGGTTTACACCTTTGCTAGATTCCTTGACCTAGTCACTGTACCTCGGGAGTTTTGTTCATAGCTGCCCCTTAATAGGGCTTCTGCGTTTGAATGAGATCCAACCTCAGAGAGAGGACTTAACGTTTCTTGCTGAAACTGCTATTCAGAAAGTTTTGAAAGCAGGGAGGAGTCTCCCCAGCAAACCCCACCTTGCAGTGAAAGCTGCTGGGCTCTGGGCTCTGCATCTGGAAAGTTGGGCTTTGCTTTCAAACTTGTTTCTTCCCAATAATCATTTCTTCCCATAGGCCCCTCAAGCAACTTTTTTTTCCTTGATATTTTTTTCCTGTTAATGGTATTTATTTAGTTGTATTGTAGAAAACCACTCTTACATTCCCCTTCGCCTCACAACAAGGCAAGTTTCTCAAAAGCATTGACTTAGTACATCAGAATTTCGGGAGGTAAGAAAAAGCCGTGATTAAGGGGTATATATAGTACAGAGTTTGGCTCTTTGTAGTGCTGAGTATATGTTTAATGAATCAAAAAGAGAGCCAGGCATGGTGACCATGCCTGTACTTGGGACACTTTGGGAGGCCGAGGCGGTGGATCACTCCGAGGTCAGGAGTTCAAGACCAGCCTGGCCAATATGGCAAAACCCTGTCCCTACTAAAAATACAAAAAAATTAGCTGGGCGTGGTGGTGGGCGCCTGTCATGCCAGCTACTCGGGAGGCTGAGGTAGGAGGAATCTCAGAACCCTGGGGGTGGAGGTTGCAGTGAGCTGAGATCGTGCCACTGCACTCCGCTGCAACAGCAGGAGTGAGAGTTTGTCTCAAAAAAAAAGAAGAGGAGGAATGATTTCTTCTTATGTTACAGGGGGCCCTTGCAATATTCCAGCTGGTATGAGCCTTCTGGCAGAGCTAGTTCTCAGACTAGAACGGCTGCATCACTAACAGCAGCTGAAACTCTGGCCCTTCAGTACATCACGGGGACAAGAGAAGATTATGATGATGGAACCAAAGGAAGAGGAATGGGTCTTGTGAGTATGGAGACCAGGCTACCTGGGAACCACTTTACCAGTCAAGAGATTCTCCGGGCCAACGCTCAGGCATCTCCGCTACCAGAGACTCCTGGTCCCCGGGAGGCCTGAGCCAGCTACGGGTACTCTGCTGTGAGTGGCTAAGGGCCAGAGAAACATTACCTAAGGAGCAGATCCTGGAGTTCCGGTGCTGGAACAATTCTTGACCATCCTGCCTGAGGAGAGCTCCAGTCGTGGGTGCGACATCACCCAAGAGGAGAGGAGGCTGTGGGACTGTGCTGGAGGATTTAGAGAAAGACTTGAACCAGAACCGCAGGTGGGAAGGGGGATTTGGTCTGTTATGGGAGCCAGATCAATGACCTTCAGGCTGACAGAGGCAGCAGTAGGGGGAGGCTGCCAAGGTCAAACTCCTTGGGCCAGGTGAGCAGCACGTGTGTTTCTGTGTCTGTCTTTTTCCGCCCCTCGAGCCCTGAATGAGAAAGAGACTCTAGCCCTTTTCCTTCCCTTGTGCTGACTCCGAGGAGGCTCTTAAAGTCTTCTTGGAAGCCGGTACAAGGAGAGTCACATCTGCAAGTGTCCAGGCAGGGGACAGAAACCACACTAGTAATTTGAAGAAAATTTAAAACTGAGTGGTGCCTGATCACCTCCAGGTCCCAGGCCCTGCACATGGACCTGCACAGGAAGAGCCATGGGAGAAGAAGGAATTTCTGGAGCAGCCCAGGAAGCACTGAGCATCCGGCCCAGACTAAGGAGACCCAGCCTTTCCCAAAGAGTGGTGAGGAGCAGGATTCTGTGGGGAGGAGAGAGAAAGAGGGACGGTAAAGGGCACAGTACCTAGTACCTGTAAAGGCAAATAGTAGTAGGCACTTAAATGTTTGTATCATCACAGCCTTACAATTCTAATATCTCTAGGTGAGAGATCTGCCTGTTTCATCACTCGTAAAATTAGGAGTAAGAATAACCTGCCTCATAAGATAGCTCTGACGATGAAGCTGAACTTGGGTCATATCTGGATATAAAGCCTGGCCAGTGTCTCTTAACTTTAGAGAGTCTTCTAAATCAGACCACACAGAAATAGTTCATTCACTCTATGCCTTATCATCTTCACTGCACTTAACTCCTAGTCTATAATAACTGTGCCCTGAGCTAGAGGCCAGCCTTGAGATCCTTTTTTTTTTTTTTTTTTTTTTTTTTAAACTCCTGGAGGCCCTCGCAAAACACACTTTTAAGCCATAGAGCACTCCTATGTGAGATACAGCCTGTCATCACCTTTACCACCTCTTCCTCATGTAAACAGCCCTATTTGAGGCCGAGATTTGCAGATCACAAGGTCAGGAGATCGAGACCATCCTGCCAACACGGTGAAACCCGTCTCTCTACTAAAAACATAAAAACTAGCCAGGCGAGGTGGCGGGCGCCTGTAGTCCCAGCTATAGCCTCGGGAGGCTGAGGCAGGAGAATGGCGTAAACCCGGGAGGCGGAGCTTGCAGTGAGCTGAGATCCGGCCACTGCACGCCAGCCTGGGCGACAGAGCGAGACTCTGTCTCAAAAAAAAAAAAAAAAAAAAAAAAAAAGCCCTATTTGAAACTCTCTTATGTGTGCCCTCACCTTCTACCCTTCAGATTCACTACAGAAACTTCCTTCTTGGCCTGCATACATACTCCTACAAACAACCCTCCTCCTCTCTGCCAGTGGCAAACACTAGACTTAGAGCCTCAGGAGACATGAACTCTCCTTGTTGACCTCTGTAGCATCGCGTGGACCGTATTGTGAATATGCTAACCAAAAAGAGTCTACTTGATATTTGCTTTTACACCATAACCCCTCCCCGACACCACTATCACTAAAACCAAGGCATTTGAAAAAATCAAATTCTTGTTAGTTACAAAATGGGAAAAAATAGAATGGGAGATTAGTTAGATTCTGTCCCAAAGTATGTTTTTACTTTAGCTCTTCTTCTTCTTTGCCTTTTTTTCAGACTTTTTCTTGTCTCCTTTACTTCTGTTTAGTGAGCCTGTATTCAGTTATCACTTTTATTACTTTTATTTTCAAAAAGAAGCTAGCTATTGTGTGATTTTTTTTTTTTCTCTATAGCAAGCATATTTCAGATTTTTTAACCACAACATTTAACCTGAAAAAATGAATTTTTAAAAATCAAATGATCTTGGCTGGGCACAGTGGCTCACACCTATAATCCCAGCACTTTGGGAGGCTGAGGCAGGCAGATCACTTGGGGTCAGGAGTTCAAGACCAGCCTGGCTAACATGGTGAAACCCCGTCTCTACTAAAAATACAAAAATTAGACGGGTGTGGTGGTACGTGCCTGTAATCCCAGCTACTGGGGAGGCTGAGGCATAATAATCACTTGAACCAGGGAAACCTAAGTTGCAGTGAGCCAAGATTTTGCCACTGCACTCCAGCCTGGGTGACAGAAAAAAAAAAAAAAAAGTCAAATGACATTGAGTTATCTTAAAGCAATTGGTTTCTGTTCTCCTTAGGCTATAGGGAGTGTTACAACAGATAAAACATAAAATGTGCTATGGACATTTAAAAACAAAAAGGCAACGCACTCTTTTTCCCCTTTAAGGAAGAGAAAGGCAGAAAGCACCAAGCAGATAGGAGGCAGGGAGCTGGAAGTCCTTTTGGTAAAGGAAGCAGTTAGTTGAGGATCCTGTAAAGAAACTATAGATTTATGCAGCTGGGAAATGGATGGGCAGAGGTGAAGGTTGCAGAGCCAGGAAGGGCACGGTTTTTTTGCCTTTAGAAACCTCCCTTTTCCTTAACCCTAATGATTCTTGTTTTTCCCTTTCTTCACACCATCACTCCCTGATTCCTTGAAAATATGAAAAATCCTTAAAAAAGACCATGCATTTGTAATTGCCTTCATTTTTTCTTTTTTTTTTTTTTTTTTTTTTGAGACGGAGTCTTGCTCTGTCGCCGAGGCTGGAGTGCAGCGGCGCGATCTTGGCTCACTGCAAGCTCCGCTTCCCGGGTTCACGCAATTCTCCTGCCTCAGCCTCCCAAGGAGCTGGGACTACAGGCGCCCGCCACCACGCCTGGCTAACTTTTTGTATTTTTAGTAGAGACGGGGTTTCACTGTGTTAGCCAGGATTGTCTCGATCTCCTGACCTCGTGATCCGCCTGCCTCAGCCTCCCAGAGTGCTGGAATTACAGACGTGAGCCACCGCGTCCAGCTTGCCTTCATTTTTTCAATAAAACTTCTTTAGTGCTTCATTATGGAGAAATTAGGGGAAAAAAGCAGATAAATGGGAGAAATTAAAAAGCAGAAACCCTCTCCTCTGTAACATAGTCCCATCACCAAGAGTTAACCGTTGGTAATATCCAAGTAAATATTCTTCCAGTCTTTGTCACATATGTAGTAGTTTTTAAGTATTTTTTTTCATTCCAGAAATGTAAATTTTAATCTAAGTGTCATTTCTTCATACATCCAGAACAGGTGTATTTACATTTTTTGTCAGTTGTTACAGAAGATGGCCCAGAGCCCAAGGACAAAGGATCATTGCCACAACCACCCATTACTGAAGCGGAATCACAGGTGTTCTCAGAAAAACTTGCTACTGACACCTCTACATTTGAAGCTACCTCTGAGGGTACCTTACAACTGCAGCAGAGAAATCCCAAAGCGGAGACACTGAGGTGGTCCCCCGCCCAGGGGAAAAGTTTCAGGCAGATGGTTGTCACCCATAAGGAAATTCCCACAGGGAAGAAAGACCATGAATGTAGTGAATGTGGTAAAACCTTCATTTATAACTCACATCTTGTTGTCCACCAGAGAGTTCATTCTGGAGAGAAACCCTATAAGTGTAGTGACTGTGGGAAAACTTTCAAACAGAGCTCAAACCTCGGTCAGCATCAGAGAATTCATACAGGAGAGAAACCCTTCGAATGTAACGAATGTGGGAAGGCCTTCAGGTGGGGTGCTCATCTTGTTCAGCATCAGAGGATTCACTCAGGAGAGAAGCCCTATGAGTGTAATGAGTGTGGGAAGGCCTTTAGTCAAAGCTCCTATCTCAGTCAGCATCGGAGAGTTCACAGTGGAGAGAGACCTTTTATATGTAAAGAATGTGGGAAAGCTTATGGATGGTGCTCAGAACTCATTAGACATCGGAGAGTTCATGCCAGAAAAGAGCCTTCCCATTGAATTGAAGGGGAGAACGTCTCCAGACAGGATTCTACATCGGTCTAATCTACTTTAGGACTGGATCCCATAAAAGTTATAAGCTCCTTAAGATTTTTCCTGTGTCTTTCTTGATTTAGGAAAAACTGTTTACTTAGTTCTGCCTGTAGATCATCCCTTCATGTCCTTTGATTAAGATACTGATATTCATTAGGACGCCTTTGGCTGCAAGTAGTAGCCAAGTTGGTTTACTTCTCCTTTCTAGCATGATCTGCCTAGTTTGCCTACCAATAATGTCTACTTAATCATAATTTTTTTTTTTTTTTTTTTTTTTTTTGAGATGGAGTCTTGCTCTCTCTCCAGGCTGGAGTGCAGTGGCATGATCTCAGCTCACTGCAATCTCCACCTCCTGGGTTCAAGCGATCCTCCTGCCTCAGCCTCCCAATTAGCTGGGACTACAGGCGTGTGCCACCATGCCCAGCTAATTTTTTGTATTTTTAGTAGAGATGGGGTTTCACCATATTGGTCAGGCTGGTCTCAATCTCTTGACCTCATGATCTGCCCACCTCTGCCTCCCAAAGTGCTGGGATTACAGGCCTGAGCCACGATGCCTGGCTACTTCATTAGAGTTTTTTTTTTTTTTTGAGATGGAGTCTCGCTCTGTAGCCCAGGCTGGAGTGCAGTGGTGCAGTCTCGGCTCACTGCAAGCTCCGCCCTCCCGGGTTTACACCATTCTCCTGCCTCAGCCTCCTGAGTAGCTGGGACTACAGGTGCGTGCCACCATGCCCGGCTAATTTTTTTGTATTTTTAGTAGAGATGGCTTTCACCGTGTTAGGATGGTCTTGAACTCCTGACTTCACGATCCACCCACCTCGGCCTCCCAAAGTGCTGGGATTACAAGCGTGAGCCACCATGCCTGTCCTTCATTAGAATTTTTAACCTGGCACTGAGCAGCTGCTCGAGAAGTGTTATATTTGTATTTATTGTGAATGGGGCTTTGGTCTGGCTCCCCCGCTTTTTTTTTTGTTGGTAGAGATGGAGTCTCACTGTGTTGCCCAAGCTGGTGCCAAACTCCTGGTCTCAAGCAATCCTCCTGCCTTGGCCTTCCAAAGTATGGGGATTACAGGCATGAGCTGCACTGCCTGACCAGTTCTGGCCTTTTCTCAGACCTACTAGTCTGCCTGCTCAGACGGGGTCACATCTGCAAGTGTCCAGGCAGGGAACAAAAACCACACTAGTAATTTGAAGAAAATTTAAAGAAGTAACTAGTAAAAGGATTATCTGCTAAAGGGAATAAAGAGATCTCTAAAGAGGCCGGGCACGGTGGCTCACGCCTGTAATCCCAGCACTTTGGGAGGCCGAGATGGGCAGATCATGAGGTCAGGAGATCAAGACCATCCTGGCTAACATGGTGAAACCCCATCTCTCCTAAAAATACAAAAATTAGCCGGGCGCAGTGGCGGACACCTGTAGTCCCAGCTACACGGGAGGCTGAGGCAGGAGAATGGCGTGAACCCGGAAGGCGGAGCTTGCAGTGAGTGGAGATCGCACAACTGCACTCCAGCCTGGGCAACAGAGCGAGACTCCCTCTCAAAAAGGAAAAAAAAAAAAAGATCTCTAAAGAACATAGGGGCTGGGCGCGGTGGCTCATGCCTGTAATCCCAACACATTGAGAGGCTGAGGCAGGTGAACCACTTGAGGTCAGGAGTTTGAGACTAACCTGGCCAACATGGTGAAACCCCATCTCTACTAAAAATACAAAAAAAATTATCCGGGCATGGTGGTGGCGGGCGCCTATAATTCGGGTGGCTGAGGTAGGAGAATTGCCTAAACCTGGGAGGCAGAGTTTGCTGTGAGCCGAGATCGTGCCACCGCACTCCAGCCTGGGTGACAGAGTGAGACTCCATCTCAAACAAACCAAAAGAATATAGGAATAGGCCAGGCATGATGGCTCACTCCTGTAATCCCAGCACATTGGGAGGCTGAGGTGGGCAGATGGCTTGAACCTCGGCGTTTAAGACCAGCCTGAGCAACATGGTGAAACCCCATCTCTACAAAAAGATACAAAAAATTAGCCAGGTATGGTGGTGCGTGCCTAGAGTCCCAGCTACTTGGGAGGCTGAGGAGGGAGAATCACCTGAGCCCAGGAGGTTGAGGCTACAGTAAGTCACGATCACACCACTGCACACCAGCCTGTGTGACGGAGTGAGACCCTGTGTCAAAAAATACAGGAATAGCAGAAAAGGGAGCAGCTAATTCTCAAGAAGCAAACTTAGAAGAGCCCACACCCCCCTGACCAGGATTGAAATTGACACCTTATTGTGTAGGGTGTGGCTTTTCCCGTGTTGTGCTACAGCCAGTCTGTACAGGCTGGCCAGAGCCAGTTTCGCACATCGCTTCCCAAGTCTGCATTGAAATCAGCCATGGTGGGAGTATTCACACCATAGAAATCAGCAAACACAACAAAACCAAAAAGGTTTTGAACTACCTGTTAGCTATTTGTTAAATGTCTGCCAACACAAGTCAGGCCCAGTAGCAGGTACCTATGGTCCCAGCTACTTGGGAGGCTGAGGTGGTCCAGCCTGGGCAACATGGCAAAATCCTATCTAAAAATTAAAAAAAACCTTTTTTAGTGGGCCTATCGTATAGAGTGCAAGGGACAAATGCATTCGATGTGGCTGGAGAGATGATGTTTATCAGAGATCAAGGCCTTTTAAGCCAGGTAAGGGATTTTGGATTTAAGAGCAGTGGGGAGCTATTACTAGGGAGTGACACCGTCAGTTACTCAGTTGTGTACTTCAGAAAGATCACTTCATCTACAGTGTGGAAAACTGCAAACAGACTCCTATTAGGAGACTTGTGGTAACCTCCAAGTAATATGGCTGCCTAAACTGAGGGAGTGACCATGGGGATGTGGAAGAGGAGACAGATTTGAAAAGTATGAAGGGGGCAAGATCAGTAGGACTTTTGGGGGTAGATCTGACTGCCAGGCAGAAACCAGCTCACCCTCCCTCAGTTTATGCTTCAAGCCAAACAGTGCAAATGGCTCCAAGTTTTCCTCCCAAGAGCCTTAGGCTCTGTCCAGCAGCCCCATTCTACAGGCCTTTCTCAGGCACCTGCCTCTGCATACACCCAAGAGGACCCTGAGGCCAGAGGTGGCAGAGTGGCTGCCCTACAGACAGTGTGGCCATAAGCCCTGGAGGGAGGGAGGAGAGCTGCAAACCAGGGAGCACATGGAAACGGGGAAGCTTTGGGCTTAGTGTTAAGGGAGTCAGTCTCCTCTTCTTCCAGCCACCCGAAAACTACTGAAGCAGTGTTGTAACTGTACTGCTTTCAGAAGGAGGCTTTATATTGCAATGTTACGGATGAAGAAACAGACTAAAATAGATGAAATAATTTGTCCAAGGCTACATAATTGATAAGTGACAGAGCCAAGATCTGAACCTAAATATGATTTCAAAGCCTGTGCACATGGTACTCTTTACTCAGAGCTGCAGGGAAGAGAAGGGGGGCTTTTGCATTTCTAACTTGAACTGTGGAGCAGAGAAAGCCAAACTCACTGTCCCAGTCAGCACTGCTTCCCAGACAGATGAGTGCTTGGTCCCACCGATGAGACTATCTCTGCTGCCCAGGAACCAATGCAAAGTTTAACTAAATTGAAAATTAAATGTAACTGGATGGGCAGAGTGGCTCATGCCTGTAATCCCAGCACTTTGGGAGGCCGAGGCGGGTGGATCACCTGAGCTCAGGAGTTTGAGACCAGCCTGGCCAACATGGTGAAAACCCATCTCTAGTAAAATTACAAAAAATTAGCTGGGTATGATGGCGGGCGCCTGTAATTCCAGCTACTCGGGAGGCTGAGGCAGGAGGATCCCTTGAACCCGGGAGGCGGAGGTTGCAGTGAGCCGAGCTCACACCACTGCACTCCAGCCTGGACAATGAGCGAAACTCCGTCTCAAAATAATAGATTAAATGTAATTAATTCTTGTTAATTAATTCTGCAAATTAATGCTGTCACCTTAATTGCTTAATGGAACAATGAGAAATGAAGGTCTTTAAAAAACAAAAGCCTTGAAAGAGTTCCATCAGCCACAAAATTGGCATACCCATAAACCTTATATCAAATGAGCAAATTTGCCTGGGCATGGTTGCTCACGCCTGTAATCCTAGCATTTTGGGGGGCTGAGGCAGGCGGATTATTTGAACTCAGGAGTTCCAGACCAGCCTGGGAAACATGGCAAAACCTTGTCTCTACAAAAAAAAAAAAAAAAAAAAAAAAAAATAGCCAGGCATGGTGGCACACACCTGTAATCCCAGCTACTTGAGGGCTGACACAGAAGGATTTCTTGAACCTGGGAGGTTGAGGCTGCAGTGAGCCGAGATTGTGCCACTGCACTCTAGCCTGGGTGACAAAGTGAGACCCTGTTAAAAAAACAAACAAACAAACAAAACAAAACAAAAAAAAAAGCAAATTTCTTTTTTCTGCTTCCAAGTATGAAACCATAATGGAGTAACGGACTGAATTTACCATCCCACGTTTAAAAAGCCAGATAAAATATATGAAACAATAATTTTCAGAACTCGGCAACAGGCAATGTGAAAGAGCCCTGAGAGAAGGGAAACAAATGGGAGGAGTCCTAGCATTGGCCCAGCTTTTTTTTTTTTTGAGACAGGGTCTCATGATGATAGTTCACTGCGACCTCGACCTCCTAGACTCCCAAGTAGCTGGGACCACAGGTGCACAGCACCACACCCGGCTGATATTTGTATTTTTCTGTAGGGACAGGGTTTTGCCATGTTGGCCAGGCTGGTCTGGAACTCCTGGGCTCAAGTGACCCTCCTGCCTTGGCCTGTTAAAGTGCTGGGATTACAGGCGTGAGCCACCGTGCCTGGCCCTTTTTTTTTCTTTTGAGACGGAGTCTCGCTCTGTTGCCCAGGCTGGAGTGCAATGGTGCGATCTTGGCTCACTGCGACATCTGCCTCCCGGGTTCAAGTGATTCTCCTGCCTCAGCCTCCCGAGTAGCTGGGATTACAGGTATACGCCACCACGCCCAGCTAATTTTTGTATTTTTAGTAGAGACGGGTTTCACCATGTTGGCCAGGCTGGTCTTGAA